CCTTCCCAAATCCCACATTCCCAAGTTCCCCATTCCCATGGGAATTCTGCCCCCACCTTTTCGCTCCAGCGCCTCCTGCCCATACTGGACGTGTTTCTGGAGCGCTTCCGGGCAGATGTGCTCCAGGTAATTTGTCAACCTCTCCACCATGGTCCCGTCAGATTCCCAGCGCCTCTTGGTGATCTGGGCAGCACCATCAGCCGCCACAAAGCTCCTGGATCCCAGCTCAAAGGAAAGGAAATCCTGCCCGTCGAAGCCTTGCCGAAAGGATCCACGGACGTTCCCATCAGACAGGAGCTCACAGCTGAAATCCCGCTGCAACGTGTGGAGACCTGGGGGATGGAATCGGACCCACAGAGACCCATGGAAGTGTGTCCCAGCCCCACAGGGCCCCATTCCAGCCCTATGGAGTCCCATAGTCTGATGAAGATCCACAGATCCCGTCCCAGTCCCTTGGAGCCCCACAGATCCCCATCCCAGCCCCAGAGATCCCCATCCCAGCCCCAGAGATCCCCATCCCAGCCCCAGAGATCCCCATCCCAGCCCCAGAGATCCACATCCCAGCCCCAGAGATCCACATCCCAGCCTCACAGATCCTTCCCTGGCTCCCCCCACTCACCCCCGCTCTGGTTGTACCGGATCTGCAGCATCTTCAGGTGGGCGGGGTCCTCGTGCTGGTACATCTTGCTGATCCAGGTCTCCGTATCCCAATATCCCGGCTCAGCTCCAGCCGCCATCCACAGAGTCCGTGGCTCCACCCGGCCCCGCTCGCTGCTGTAGCTCGCGAAGGGAATCCCGTCCACATATCCCACCCCCACGTACTGGGGGAGCCCCGGGCTGGGCTCCGACACCACCACTCGCAGGTAACGCAGGGAGTGGAGAACTGGGGGGACATGGACATTTGGGGGGGCTGGGGAGGCCCAAGGTGAGAGACTGGGGGGCTGAGGGGGCTCACAGGTAAAGGAAAGGGGGAACTGGGAGAGCTGGGAGAGCCAGAAAGAGGCTTGGGGG